ATCTTTCGAACAGTTTTTGATTTTTTAAAACGATTCGGTAGTATGAGCTTAAATGTGGACGAAAAGTTCAGCACTTTTTTAACAAATTACAAAGAAACGGCTTGCAGATCGTCGCACAAAACTGACAAACGATAGTCCTCATAGGGTCCTCATTGAGATACATCAAATGGCTTTAAATTTCTGAAATCGGTCTAGCCGTTTTGAGAAAACTTAGATTCAATATACTTCTTCCAAAGGTATCATTCGATTCAGAATGGCTTGAAACGTCGAGAGAACACAAAATTAGCCAATCGGATTTTTTTTTGATATAAAAACAAAACTCTCCTTCGGGAAAGTTAAAAATTGCAAATTTCAAAGAACAGTTTTCTGGATAAATTTCAAATTGACAGCATTTACGCGCGTCTGCTATTACGGGATTCCCACATTAATATACGCGCATAAGTATATTACGCGGAAATCCCCTTTTTAAAATTCAATAATTAGTATACTGTATGTGCGCGTACGTAAATTTATTTATATGGTGACATCTCTAGTTTTATGTAATCTTTATTTGTTTTAAAATAATAATTTAAGTGTTCAATCATTCAATATATATATTGATGATCGAACAAGTAAGAGAGAAAATACCTATATATCCGAACAAGTAAGAAGGGAAAATACCTATATTTCTCGTTTTGATTTTCAAAATCCATATTGATATAAGTAGATGATAACTATTATCATTAGATACCAAATCCATATCATTGGTACCTATATAAATAAAATCCCTCCAAGCAATAAAAAAACAGTACATGTGCGTTTGAAATTTGTGCTAGATAAAGGTTAGTGCTTGGTGTTGATATTTTTTAAATTTATTTAAACATTTTATTAGCAATTATGTTTTGTCGACTTAAACCAAATCAAAAAGTCAACTGTGGTGTTGATGGGCATGGTGCCTTAAGCCAAATTATTGGAGCTTCTCGTTCCGAAAATTAATTTTTTTAAAAAAGCTTTTATGTTTTGAGAAAATATTAAAGAAAATTAATATTGAGAAAAGTTTGAGAAAAATAACGTTTTGAGAATTTGATTTTTTTGAAAAAATTTGACATTTATGAAAAATTTGATCTTGTTTTAATATTTCAAAATTTTGAACATTTTTTCAAAGCAATTGCACTGCGTACCCTTATCAAAATCTCGATGAAATATCTGATAATTTCAAGTTCATATATCTAATTATGATTTTTGACCGCAAATGGCATTTTTTGTACTTTTTAATTGGATCTACCCTCATCGGTTCTTCATTTCGTATATACGAATAAAATGTTTTTTTAAATATTCAAATTGAACGCTCCGTTCTCTCAAAAATTGATTTGCGATTTTTGGTACTTTTTGCCTCGTATCTTTGAAACGACTGAACTTGCCTTTGCAAAAAAAAAAACAATTAACAATCGGTCGGCGGAAAATTGTATTTGCACATATACAATACACATACAGGCATTCATTTCTGGCAAGTATGCCAAAATGTTCAATGTGAAAATTAAAGATATGCAAAAAATTATTTCCGATTTTTTTGCGATTACTATATATAACTTTCTCTACGAAAGTTTAATTACCATACTAAAGATAAAAAAATTCGAAATTTAGATTTTAGTTTGAATTAGAAGATATCTTCTTTCTTCTACTAATGGTAATACTTAACGTAGAAAGAAAAAATATTATTTCAAGTGAGTTTTTCAAACTTCTGAAATACCAAGTCGCACTGTGATTCTTCAGGGAATTTACGGCAGTAAACTGAATCACTGGTTACTTATCAATATAGATATTTTTCGTTATACAACCGGCTCCGAAAATTTGTTTGGTGACCCTCACAAAGAAAATTTTTTTCTCAAACAATAAGAATAACATTGCCCAAAATTTATTACTTAATCAACATATTTTTCCAAATTTCTTACAAACAATTAAACAATTTAAAATCAGAATCGGTATCTAATATTATGTTTTAAGTTTATTTAAATCGTTTGAGGCGAAATTCGGAAGAAGAATGTGCGTGTGTACGTGAAGCAAAATTTTACCTTTTGCAAACGTTTTCTTGAAAAAGAATGAACTTATAAAAATATGTCGCCGTAGGTTTTATCTAAAGATACTAAAATTTTCGTTCAAGTTTATCCTAAAATCCTGAAACCGATTTAATAATTCAAAAACTGTTCTAAATAGATCGTTAAGAATCGGTAAGAAGATAGTTTTTGGTAAATATTGGCCAGATCGTTTTACGTAATTAAAGTAAAAAAAAGCTGAAAATAATGACGATTTTGATGAATTTTCGTGATCCCAAAGATCAGTACCTCAGAGCATACTACATATTTGATAGTATAATGCCTGATACAGCAATGATTACAATCCACTGTAATAGTTTCCATAAATGAGTGCATATTTTATAAAAATCGCAAATTAGGTGAGTAGTACCTCATGCAATTTTAATCGTAGATAACGATAAATATCGTGCTTTTTATCTGATTGTGATAACCATAGATAAATGAATGGTGATAATTATCCATATATATAGTTAACGTTAGTGTTATATAAACGATTTTAAGAAAAAAATGATTTTTATTAATGTTATGCATCAAGATAAAAAAATATTTTATCTAACAGCGTCTAGCTAGAGATATTTTTACAAATGTGTTGGTAAGCAACACGCACACCTGTATAATATGTAAGTCCCATCCCGATTCAGGGGATTCTTACTCTTTAAAAGAGCAAGTCGTCGAACATAGACCTTCAGGGTAACAGTTGAAAGATTCTTTAAGGGTCTCTAGCAGTTGTTCGTAATGGTAGTAAACAGCCATAGCAATAATGTATATAGATTGGTTAGTTATGTCATGAACAAAAGCCTCTCATTATTGTAGTATTTAAATATTAGTTAATTTACAGCTATTCACGAGTCAACTGATTTTCAACAGTAAGAAATTATGAAAGTGAATTTCCAACACTTCATAATTTTATAAGATTTACCTAATAAGTATTAATTGCTGCCTTATAAAAAATATTTTTTTGATTGTCATCAAATTGTATGCCACTATTCACAAAACAATTCAAAAATTCTTTGTATTAAAAATTATTAATATTAAAAAAAAATAAGAAGATTGAAGTGGATATGTAAAACTTTCAATTGTTTATTATTGCCTTATTTTAAAACTGATAGTTAATAAATTATGTTATTTTATCGTTAACTTCCCGTATGGTAAATTATAGTAATCGTCCTAAAATCGAAATTGAAAATTTTTGCATATCTTCACGTTTTAAAGGATTCTGAAAATTTTGGCATACCTCAGAAAAAATGGATATGCGTTTTGTGTGTCCGCAAATTTTCGTCTACGTTTTCGGGCGCAATTATTAACCGATTTGAATGGTTCCAAAAACACAGTACCTCCAAAATGGCTGGGCCAACTTTTGCCAAATACTTATCAGCACGTCTCCCCGTCAATACGAACTGAATGTTGTTCGAATAATTCAATTCCGTGCGCCCGAAAACGTGGACGAAAAAATGCGGACATACAAACAACACACACACACACAAAATGTTCAGAAATCTTCAATACGAAGGTGAGATATGCAAAAATTATCATTTTTGATTTTCTGCCCATTACTATAACTACCCTATGGGAAGTTAATTAAAAAAACTTAAAAGAATTTAAACACTTTTTACTGGTATCCACTCCTTGGTGCTCTTTTTTTTATTAGTGTTAATTGTACCATTTTCTTTTTTGATTGATTTTATAATCACATTTGATTGAGTGTATTGAGTAAATTCTTATGCATAAATTTATATCAGAGACCTGTCTGTTTTCTATTTTTTCATAATCTCGCGCATTAATTCTGTCAAAAAATCATAGTCTAGATCTTCAGCATCTTCATCATCAGAATAGCTAGTAGTCGGTTTTTTTAAATTATTTAACTCTTCAGATTTTTCTTCCGTCCTACAAAGTTCTTTTTCCTGATTTGCTGATAGTACTGTCGCCTGTTTTGGTAAAACTTGGTTTTTGATGTTCCGTATATCTTTTTTTGTGATCAGAGAAGCTCTCAAAGGTAATTCGTTGTTAAATGAAGCTTCACGAACACTTTCTACAATGATGCCGTCGTCAACTCCAGCTAAAATTTTATCTGTAAAAATTATAATATAACCTAGTTGTAAGTGGCTTTTGGCTAGTTATAAAGGCAAGTTGCATGAATTTCCCAGCATATGTAAATAATCGACTTAATCAATAACAAGTCAACATTTATTATTAGTGATTTGTAAGTGTACCAAGTTGCGATAAAACATCATAATTTGACAAAATATTGCAGATATTCATTCATTAACACGCTTTCAATACATCTAATATCATTCATAATAATTTTCATAAAAAACTACTATTCGTAGGACTGTAATATTATAGCATGTTGACTAAGACCATGTACTCAATCATCATACAAATTTCATTCAAATCATCGAAAAAAGAAGAAAAGAATTATCAATGAATTATGAAGAAAGGTTTGGCCGTTCTTTGTCAAGAACTAATCAGCACGATTTCCAAATGATATCTTTCGAATAGTTTTGAATTTCCAAAATCCATTCAGGATTTTTGGCAAAAAAGTAGACGAAAATTTTTGCACATTTCTGGTAATTCTAAAAAAACGCCTCGGCGATCGTATTGAAAAATTTACCAACGCGAGTGCTTGCAAAGTATCATCGACCGGATTTAAAATTTTTGAAATTGGTTCAGTCGTTTTTAAGAAAATATCGATGAGAATGTATACATTATAAATTGTAATTGTATATGTATATATATATTATAATATATATACATATATATATATATATATATATATATATATACAGTACGTATTTCACACACTTTTTCCAAATTTGGCCCCATTCGATTCATAATGACTTGGAACATAGAGAAAACAAAATTAGCAAATCAAATTTTTATCAAGATTTTTATCATATTTCTCCCGAAACGTCGATAGTAAATAAATAAAAAAATGGTTTTTAAATAAACTTTTTCGTTTTTTATAACTTTTTGGATTCTTTGTTCGAAGCTCCACAAAATATTTACAAAAGACTCTACCATCTAATATATATAAACATATATATATATATATATATATATATATATATATATATGTGAATTTGTTATTTAATTTTGATGTTGAGATATATGTTGTTAAGGATGATATAAAAATATATATAACAAAACATATGGATTAAAATAAAAATTTATACAAACTTTATAAATCTTTGAAATTGGTGTATTGCTTTTAAATATAACCACACACACACACACATATATTATATATATATATATATATATATATATATATATATATATATATGTATATACGAGGTCTGTTCAAAAAGTACCCGGAATTTTCGTTTTTTCAAAAAAATATTTATTTATTCGTCTACATTAATGTGGTCCCCTTCAAAGTAGTCCCCCCCAGATATAATACACTTATGCCAGCGTTTTTTCCAATTTTCGAAGCACCCTTGATATTCACTTTTTGATATGTCCTTGAGCACTCTCAGCGATTTTCTTCAATCGAGGAAAAACCGCCGTCCTTTCATGGGTCTCTTCAACTTTGGGAATAGGAAAAAGTCACACGGAGCCATATCTGGTGAATATGGAGGTTGGGGCATGACTACGGTATTGTTTTTGGCCAAAAAATTACGAACAAGCAACGACGAGTGAGGAATTTTGGAATGAATTTTGCTGCCACTCGTTTCATGCCAAAACATTTGAAAAATGTTATGACATGAGCCAATTGATATGCCAACTTCATCAGCAACTTCTCTAATTGTGATTCGGCGATCATTCATAACCATTTTTTCCACTTCTTTCACATTTTCATCGTTTGTTGACGTGCTGGGTCGACCGGAGCGTTCGTCATCTTCAACGTCTTCGCGGGCATCTTGGAAACTTGTTTTTTTCATAGCAGACTCACCATAGGCTTTTGTAACATTTCACACACTTTGTTACACTTTATTTCATTTTTTACGCAAAATTTAATACAAATTCTTTGACTTTTCAATTCTTCCATTGTAAAAATCGCCGAGCTCAGAAAAACACGTCGAACTTAGCGACTACCACAGACAAAGTAAACAGTGAATATAGCTGAAAATTTCATCATACTTTAGGGGCATGTATACCAACACAATAAAAAAAAAATTTTGACAATCAGACACTCCAGACCCGCGAAATTTAAAAATTCCGGGTACTTTTTGAACACACCTCGTATATATATATATATATATATATATATATATACATATATATATATATATATATACATATATATATATCTTCTATATATATAAAAATAAGTCGGGTTTTCCTTCCTGATGAAATAACTCCAGAACGCACGAACCGACTTCGACAATTTTGCATTCGTTGGAAAGGCCTCGAGCTCCGCAAGGTTTATAGCTAAGAAAATTAGTGGTGCATGGCATCGTGCCTTAATGCAAATTGCTGGGACTTCACGCACCATAATTAAAAATTCGAGTAATGACATTAGTGAGAATTATCAGAATTATGCTTGGTTAAGTCAACAAACAATTTTTGCCGCAAAGTATAATGATGTACACGCACTGAATTTCACCATTCACTCAAAAATTGCTCGCGATTTGGTTTGACTTCAAACGATTGCAATTTCCAGTTCGCCTTGCGTTCGCAATAACAAGTCGCAAGGCCAATCGCTTAGTGTTTGCGGGGTAAATTTCAAATAGATTATTTAGAAAATCATTGTTTTTCACATGGGTAGTTATTCGTTGCCTGTTCACGAGTTGGAAAACCAACGGCTTTGTTTGTGTTAACAAAGAAACCAAAAAACAAAAAATGTGGTTTACCAAAGATCACTTCCATGAAACAGATAATTTGCGGATTCACATTCATTTACTTAGAGAAGTTCAACTAAAAAACACTTCATTTTTGTTATCGAAATAAATTCATTACTGTTGTGCAATAAAATCATATTTTTCCTTTTCAAATATAAAACAAACAAAAAATTTCTTCATCTTCCTAACGAGACCATCTGGTGGCGAAACGGAGTTCGTCGGGTTTGCTAGTATATATATAATTATATAATATATATACACATATATATATATATATATATATATATATATAATATATATATAGCAATTTTTATTCATACCTTTGATGAGATTTTTTGATTGTTGGTCGAGTGGCAAATATTTTAGAATAATCTCGTGGCCCACATGGGTCTTAAAATATTCAATGTTTACTTGACCATCATTACATATTGTACAGACAATACGTGCTGGACAAGCATATCCGATTTTCTTGCTTTTCTTTTGAAATGCACCTTTCTTCTCTTCATAAGCATATGAACGATGGCAGTAATATACCACTTTGTGTCCATTTTTCATTTTGTACCCTATACTGTTTTTTACATATCTGTAGAAATGACATTGTTCCATATCATTTTTCCATGTTTCAAAATCTAAAAAAAAGGAAGAAATTAGAAGAAATAATACTGAAGTACATATATTGATAAGGCCTGTAATTAAAAGTATACAAACCATTAATAGAAGAAAATGATATTTCTTCACTTTCAATATGTATTTGATGGTCAAGTTGTAGATGGGTATGTAAAGGACTGTATCTAGTAAATGACCTTTTGCAATCTTTCAAGGGGCATATGATGCGACTGTGTCTTGGCGGTCCTACAATTGAATATGATTGTTACCCTCTGTTGCAATTCAGAATAAAAATGCCAAAATACATACCTGAAAAATACTCAAACTGTTCTGAAACACTACTTGGTGAAAATAGGGGAGTCTTTGGAGAGGATAATTCTGGTGACACTGGACAAGTGTCAGAATCTGTAGTTGGAAGAGGTTGCGGTGAAAGAGGTCCATTGGAGTTAGTGGCAACATCAAATTGGTTAACGAAGAAATCAGAGCCAGAAATAAGGGGAGTGGATGGTGGTGTTGGATGAACGAATTCAGCATATGAATGGAGAGCAAGGGATGTTGTAGGATTAATACGGTGATTATTGGAATATGTTGTAAGTTCTGTTGTGGAAGGTACAACAGTAGTTTGGTGATGAGAGGAAGAGCTTGGCGACTGAGGGTTGGTGGATTGTATCTTATTATGATCAATGGGAGCAGAAGTAGTGTGAAGACTGGAGGAGTGATAATGTTCAATATGTCTCTTGAGACCAAATTTCGAATGTAGTGCCTTTTTACAATGAATACATTCTAAGGTTGCTTTAAAATGTATCGGTTCTTCATCATGCTTTCCCCTAATATGTCTATATAATGAACCTTTCAATTTAAATGATTTAGAGCACTGAGTGCACTGGATACTGCCACTCATATTTATAATAAAAAAGATCTAATTAAAAGTAATGAAAGTAAGTAAGTAGCTATGTCTGAATTTAAAGCTAACTAATAAAAGTATAAAATTATGAATGAAATAACCTATAATGAATTCTAATTGAAAAAATAAGTTTTAATCCACATTAAGCTGACTTGATGATCCTAAAAACGTATTAAATAGAAATAAATTGGCAATGAAAGGAAAATTATAAGTAATCTACATAAAATATAAAATATAATACAATATTAATAAAATAACCTATATAACATATCCTAATTAAAATACATATAAAAATTAATTAATCCGATATAAAAACTTCAAAATTGTATATGAAATAAATTGTTAATTAAATGCAAGGAAAATGTAGCTAACTATAAATTCTTACTTAATATTAATTATTAAAAAAACACTGGCACTAAATCACACAAACACAAAAAAAACACAAAACGTTAAACAATTAATTATTAGTATTATAATGTCCAGGTCCAATACAATAATAAATAATAAATAATAACATATAATGACAGAAGTATAATATATTTTCGTTTTTTATTTTAACAGGATTTTACATTCAGAGAGCTAGGGAAGGGGTCTGCCGCATAGACTCGGTGGCGCTGTTATCGCTTATCGCTCGGCAACTCTGCGCGCAGAATCATTCAAACTAATAGCGCAAAATTTGAAATAACTAGTGGTGTATGGCATCGTGCCTTGGCAAATTACTGGAACTTCCCGTACCGTAATTAAACATTCAAAGAATAAAAATAATCAGTCAACAAAAACTTTCTATAAATAAATATTATAAAAACTAGAATTTTCATTATTTGTTCCTTGTTGACAAAATGTGAAAACTTATTAGATTGGACGACGTTGTTTATATATGTTTGAATGAAATATATGTATACAAAATCTAATTAAGCGGACTTATTGTTAGAATGAACATATTTTATTTCAAATGCATCAATTTTTCGCTCGCGAAATATATGCACTGAGTCAACAATTTTAAATAGTTCATGTTATATCAACTATATAAACATAAAAAGTATAAAAAAAAATTAAAAAAAAAATTACAGGCGTGGGTTTCGAACCCGATCAGTTTCGACTTTCTTATCTACTAACGCGAACGAAAATTGCAGTGACGCACCAACCAACTAAGCTATAACGGCATGCTCACATATGTCTAGGATCTTTTCGGAATTTCTTCACTTTTTGCTCAGTATATTTAAAACGGCTTGACCTGCCTATACTAAAAAGTAATCAGTACGTCTCCACATTAATACGTATCGATTCTGTTTTGAATCATTCAAATCGGCCGATTTGTTCTCGCAAAACCTGCCATTTTTTGCTTCGTATCTTCGAAACGGCTAGACCTGCCAAAAAAACTAATCAGCACGTATCCTTATCAATACCAATCAAATGTTTTTTGAATTATTCAAATCGGTTGATCGGTGTTCCCGAAATCGTCGACGAAAATTTGTATCCGCACACACACACACACACATACATCCATTTTTTCTAAGCTATGCCAAAATATTTAAAAACCTTTGAAACGCAAATTAATATAAAAATTCTCACAATGTGATTTTTTTTAAATTACTATACCTTACCCTACGGCATAGATAAACAAGTATAAAATTGCTCTTTCTGCAAGTCATTCATGTACTGTGCATGCATAGCGGGAAATATTTGTACAATGGGATAATTCTGCTAATCAATGAAAATGCAAGAATCTATCAATAATTTGACCCTACTGAAAGTTAATGATAAATTTTTATAATCTAGATCACTAGATCTTTCATTGCAATCATATTTTTAAACTTATGGCAGGGCAAGTTATAGTAATCGTTCGAAAAAACTAAAATGAAAATTTTTGCATATCTTTACGTTTCTATGTTCTTTGAACATTTTGGTACATATACCTTAGAAAAAATATATTGTTTGTATGTGTATTTGTGTTTTGTGTTATTTTAATCGATTCCTAAATATGAGATCGCTTTCAGTCAGTGAATGTTTTACATTAAATTCTGAAAAAGTTTAAATTATTTATCCGATATGTTCTCTAAAATATTTTCAAAACATTTCTTTAGATATTGGCGACGGAAAGGTTATCATCGATAAAACTAGATGCGTCAAATTATTGATAGGTTCTTGCATTTTCATTGATTAGCAGAATTGTCCTATTGTACAAATATTTCCCGCTATGCACGCACAGTAAGATGAATGACTTGCAAAAAGAGCAATTTTAGCGAATAAATGTATAAATATTAGGCTTGAAACGAATAGAATATTCGGCAAAATGCCGAATACCGAATATTCGGCATGCTCCAGAGACCGAATACCGGATATTCGGCAACTATTCGGCAGGTTTTTGGCGCCTAAGCTCATTTGTATTAATGTTTTTACTATCAGTAATTGTTATATTATTACTAACACACTGCATGTTTATTCAAGTTTTATGCCTAGACATGCAACCACTATTCGGCTACTATTGGTTATTTAGAAAATTTGGCACCATTCACAATATTCGGCCAAATACTGAATATTTGAATACCATATGTGATAAAGAAATAAATGGTAAAATCATAAAAAAGCGATTCTTCACTTATATATAAATGTATTTCCAATTATTTCTTTCATAAACATTTAATATTTTGTTTTATAAACTCAATATTATATCCTATATATTAGGGATGCTAATCAGAAGTCGATAAGTTTAAATTATTCTTTATACAATAACAAAATCATTTCTTCATATCATATTATATAAACTAAACACTTCCAAATATAGAGATCCATCGCGAGATCTTTATCGCATGAATGATATAAATCACCAACAATCCTGTCGCTGAGCGGCGGCGGGGCCTATGGTTTTAACTAGTGATGTGCCGACTCGAAAAATTCCCGATTCGAATGATTCGAATCAGAAAAAAACCTGATTCGAATCATGATTCGAATCAACTCGAATCAAGTATATATATGGACAAAAAAAAATCATGGATGTATTAATTTAGTAAAAGTGATCCAAATTTATAATCAAAATTGTCAGTTTAACCAATATAACCGACGAAGTAGAAATTGTAAACATAAATCACTATCAAAAAGTATATTCTGAAAGTTATTAAAAATGATGTAATTTTGAGGACGGCTAAAACATATCTTCAAATTAATTTACAATAATAGATTACCAAACAATTGTGCATCACTAAAGCATATAAAATAATATTTGGAATCATGGGTCGATTGTTTATTTTACTATGTAATCAGTAAAGGATCGCATCTAAACTGAGAGCTGAAAGTTAATTTCATTAATGTGAATTTGCCATTACTTACATAATCAAAAGTTAACATATTATTTACTGACTTTCTGGTGTTTAGTAATGTTTCAAAAAAGAATTATATTGAAAGATTCCCGAAACTCGTTTCATAATTTCGAGTGGTTTATTCTGATAACATTTAAAATCTAAAACACTTAATTATTATCAAAATTGGGTATTGATATTTCACGAATAAAATCGCTCTCAGCGCTCCGTAAAATAAATAAACACGCAAGAACGACGACGCATTGTATCGCCCATACGGTTAACTCATATCGCTCGAACGGCTTGAAGTCGGGATGATTCGAATCAGAATTGAAGTCGGAATAACTCGTAACGCCGCTTGATTCGGTTTGGCTCATGAAGTCGGAACAACTCATATCGCCGCTTGATTCGGTTTGAGTCATGAAGTCGGAATAACTCATATCGCCGCTTGATTCGGTTTGAGTCATATGAAGTCGGATGATATAGTTAGTCGATGAATGCGGTTAAAGTCATATAAAGACGATTGGAGGCGGCTGATACATTTAAGCATATTAAAGTCGGGTGGCTCGCATGATTTAATTCATTATTTATTTTTTATATTTATGATATTTATTTTTTATATTATTATAATATTGAATTAAATTAAAACATTTTTTTTATATTTATATTTATGAAAAATTTTATATTTATGAAAAATTTGTGTTAATACATATTTTATCACAGTAAATATTTCGCGGCTTGATGCGAGTTGATTCGAATCAAGTAAAATCTGATTCGAATCAAGTCGTTAAAGGCTTGATTCGAATGATTCGAATCACTTGATTCGACTTGGCACATCACTAGTTTTAACTATTCAGTCGTGTTTGGTATTCGGCCGAATAGTAAGTTACTATTCGGTATTCGGCCGAATATTAAAAAAGGTGCCGAATATGCCGAATACCGAATTGTAACCGAATATTCGGTGGAAGCCTAATAAATATTGAATATTACACTCTGAAGATACAACCGTATTTGAAAAGTAACTAGATACCATACAAATATATGCCAAAGCTGTAAATTTTCCATAAAGTTCTTGAAATCTCACTCAACTCAATGGACATAAGACAGCCTAATTCAAATATGAATGTTCGGATTTTGAAAAAATGAACGAATTAATGAAAATCGCTGAAATTATATATCAAAACCTTGAATCTCCAAATGTGCCAATTCAATTTAAATCAGTTATTCCGCTCCAGGTTAAGCGCACTGCCTTGTGTAAACAGAAACCCGACATCATGCAGTAGTGATATCAATTTCACCTTGAAATTAAAAATATAGATCAAAAACTTGTTTTCAATTGAAAATAGTACATTTCGAGACCAGCGGAGTAAAATGCCAATGGAAAATTTCTCACACTATTTTTCGTAATCATCATCCAGACTCCCCTGCCCCCCATGTCAACCCAAAATAAGCAAATCAACAACCCTCCGCCCCTCTATATATAGAGGGGCGGAGCGTTGTTGATTTGCTTATTTTGGGTTGACATGGGGGGCAGGGGAGTGCTTGCGTAATATTTGAACGGCCTCATACAAATATATACCAAAGCTGTAAATTTTCCATAAAGTTCTTGAAATCTCACTCAACTCAATGGACTTAAGACAGCCTAATTCAAATATGAATGTTCGGATTTTGAAAAAATGAACGAATTAATGAAAATCGCTGAAATTATATATCAAAACCTTGAATCTCCAAATGTGCCAATTCAATTTAAATCAGTTATTCCGCTCCAGGTTAAGCGCACTGCCTTGTGTAAACAGGAACCCGACATCATGCAGTAGTGATATCAATTTCACCTTGAAATTAAAAATATAGATCAAAAACTTGTTTTCAATTGAAAATAGTACATTTCGAGACCAGCGGAGTAAAATGCCAATGGAAAATTTCTCACACTATTTTTCTCTGAATCGGGTTGTCCTTACTTGTAGTATCGAAGTATAAATACGTCTTTACACAACTTAATTCTAATTTTTGGTACAGTAGTTTTAATTTTATGCCGTATACAAAAAATTATGATCACTTTATCATTATCAGAAATTCAAAATTATTAGGTTTTTATTGAAAATTATTTTCTTAAAATTTTGCTAAAATGAT